CTCTGTGATTTTCAATGTGAGAGAAAGCTTCACTAAGAAAAGGATGCTTCCGCTGCACTTTGAGGTTGAGCACAAAGTCAAGGTAGCAGTGCACACAGAGTGTGCATTCGGAGGTTAAACTGGAACAGGAAGTGTATTTTGGTGAGATTAGATAAATTAATCTTGGGGTTCACCTAGGCTATGTCCTCCAACCTGGCTAACATTTTGATTTCCATGTGTCTGACTACTTCCTGTCAATCCCAACTAGTTCAAAATTGGGTGCAGAAATGAGATGCTTTTTATTGATCCCTTAAGGTCTGGCTAGTGTGCAGGGTGGATCAGAAGGTGGATATAACTGGAGGGATGGAAACGAAGTAGAAGACTCTGTAAGCCATCACACTGTGAGGTGAGCGGAGTTCAAACTAGGATCACTGCCAATGAAGAGAAGTGGGACTTGTGAAAAGAAAAAGAAGGGTTGCAATTGGGGTAGATGAAGTACAGAAGATAAACGCCTATCTGAAGGGACCTGGTGCTGGAAAGGGGATGAACTCTATTTTATACATGTGGGAAGTTGGCAGGCCGGCTATCTGGACTACTGTCTCTTTTGCTTCTCTCTACAGGTTTTTCTTCAACATTATCTCAGATATCACCTAATACTTGGAGATGTTCAAGACCTTCTCAGACAGAAGTTCTCTCTTTCTTCACTGAGTTCCTGGGCCATTTTACTGTACTTTTATTAAGCACTTTGCACACATATAGCGGATTACTTTGGGGCATCGTTTTTCTCTCCTACTGGGCCAAAAACTCTGTTGACGGAGCTATGTCTTATTAGTTGATATCTCTACAGAACATTACGTAGACCTCTGTCCCTATAGTCAACAAATATTAATGGAGACAACCATTAGTAGACAGTGGTAAGAAAGACTTCAAGACCCCTGCCCTCAAGTAGGAGAGAGTTCTTTGGTGCAAATAAAGTGAGGTGGTAGAACTGAAAGAGACTGAGGAGGGGCTCTTTAAGTGGCGTGATAAGGACTGGCTTCACTCACAACAGGGCCTTTGAGGTGAAAGCGTGAATAAGCCACCCAGAGCTGAGGAGACAGAAAACTAGAGCAGCTTTCAAGGCCTTGAGGTTAGAAGGTGTTTGCCTTGTTCATGGAACATACGAAAGGATTGCAGCTGGAGTGCGAGAAGGGAGCATGATGCTGATGAGGTCAGAGCAATCATTGGTGGCAGATTGTGGAACAGGAAGTAGAGGCATTGAAAGAATTTGGAATCTGCAGGAAGGGGACTAATTAAGGCATAGGAGAGACAGGATCAAGTGAATACTTTTTTTATGGACCAAATATATTTCGGGAAGGTAGAAGGAAAAGAGGTTAGTAGAGGGAGAATTTCAAGTAAGGAATTGAGTGCTGAGTAGAGGTGGAAGTGTCTGTTGTAGCAAGGAGGCAAGAAGTCTCTTCTTGTGAGGTCCAAGGACTACAATGGCAAACAGTCTCGAACACTCCTATGTGTCAGGCTTTGTTTCTAAGAGTTCTCCTCACAGCGGTGTAATGGAGTAGGTACCATAGTTACAGCTCCACTTTATAGGCCAGGAAACACAGACTTCGATTCCGTTAATTCCCTATGGCCATTCAGACAGTAAGGATAGAATTGGAATTAGAACTTAGGTTGCTACTGTAGGCCAATGGTAGGGGTTCAGAGTAGGTCAGTTTGTGAGAGATGAAGTGGTCCAGGGGTCCCCTTGAATTGGAATCAGAGATTAGAGTCTAGTCCTGACATATGAGGAGAATGTAGCTATATCAAGAATGGAGGGAGGGTGAGAGGAAAATGTACCAAGGTTGGAGGAATGAGTAATGGAAAGTGCCAGCGGGTCAGCCGATCAGAGGATGGGGGAGTCAGGAACAGTGGCACATCATGTGAAAGCTTTCCGGGGAAATTTATAATGGGTACCAAATGAAGAAAACATTCTAAAATTGATTTCACAACTCTCTTTAATATATAGAAATCATCGAATTGTGTGGCATGTGAGTTATATGCCAATAAACTTTTAAAAAATTCTTCCAAATTAATGTGAAAGCCTTTTTTTAATTCAAATTTGAACATGTCATCTGTAAAGTGAATTTTGAGACAATCTTGGAAAACTGGACATGGATTGAATAAAGAATTATTAGTTTTGTTGGGTCTGAAAATAGTATCATCCATATACATGTATATATTTATTTTAAAGTCCTTATCTGATAAATTAAGGAACTCTGGTGGTGTAGTGGGCTGTGTATTGGGCTGCTAACCTCAGGGTCAGCAGTTTGAACCCACCAAGTTCTGCAAGGGGGAAAAAAATGAGCCTTTCTGCTCCCGTGAAGGTTTGTAGCCTCAGGAACTCTATATAAAGTCACTATAAGTTGGATTTAATTCTGTAGTAGTTATCTGTTATATTGGACACAACCTCAAGTATTTACAGGTGAGTTGATAAAATGACTGCCATTTGTTTTCAAATATTCCAACAAAAACAGACAGACAAAGCAAATAGAGTTGGGGAAGAGTGAGAAATGACACAAGAGTATCAGAGACTCGATGATTGTGGAAGCCGAGACATGGGTACCTAAGTGTTCATTTTGTTGCTCTCTCTGTGCTTTGGACCGTGTTTTGTTGTGGGTTAAGGAGAAGCGGATGGGGGTTAGGCTTTAGTACGTGGCACCAGAAACCCTACAAAAGCTTTAGCCCCAAAGTGGGGCATAGGAAGGGCAATGAGTGACTACCCCACAGATGTTAAGCTGATAACAGTATAGAAAATGGCCATGAGGGAGGAGGTCTAGAAATAGGGATCCAGTTCAGACATGTGCTAGGGGTGGTGGTCAAGAGAACAGAAATTTTGAAAATGGATAGAGGAAATAATAGCAAAAGAGGAACTCTTTGGTGGGTTGGCAATACAGTAATGAGTCAGGTGCATGATGGGAAACATCCCTCTCTTCCTCTTCAGCCAGTAGCAGTCATTGCAGTAAGCCACTACCCTGAGTTGTAAGGAGGGGAACGAAGGAAAAATAGAGCTCCATTGAAAGGAACCAACCCAGGGCTTCCTACTAGTCAGAGTGGAAAGCAATGTGAAGAATTATTGCGTCACATATTGGACTGCTAACCACAAGGTCAGCAGTTCAAAACCACCAGCCGCTCTGCAGGAGAAAGACGAGGCTTTCTACACCCACAAAGAGTTGGTCTCAGAAACCCACAGGGGCAGTTCTACCCTGCTCTATGGGGTCGCTGTGAGTTTGAATAGACTTGATGGCAGTGCGTTTGGGTTTGCTTGTTTCAGTATGAAATTCATAGGTTCCAACGATTACCCTCATCTCTCTCTATCTTCATTGGGGAATTGCCAACAATCTTTGTCAATGTTTCCTTCTCAGTCACTTATGGTATTAGCTAGTGTAGAGCCTATATTATTCCAATATAAAATTGAAGAATTTAAAGAATGTGTGTGTGTTTACTAAAATGAGTTGAAAGATAGCTCCTAGAAAGGAAAGCAGGGCTATAAAATTAATGAAGGCTCTAGACTTAAATATTCCGTTGTTCCTGGTTTTCAAGGAGCATGTGTTACAGATGACTGAGAAATGGCAGTTTTTCAGCCCTTTACAATAGAAGATACCTGTTAACCTCACGCACAGCATCTTAATAAGATACGACCTGAATGAGCACCCCTGAGACTAGCTTCCTGATCTCATTTGCTATCTTCTTGATTGTTGTTTTAATGAAATGACATACATGCATAGGGGTCCCTTCCTATGATCAACATCCCTCTTTTCTGTCTCAATTTAGCATATTTACGAGAGGGCTCCAAAAAGCCTGTGGAAAATTCCATTATCTTTTAATTCCATCCCCCCCCACCTCCCCCAGGCTGTTTTGAAGTTCTCTCATAGTTAGAGGTTGGAAGCTGAAGTGGGAGCAGGATAAGAAATGTCCCCTATTGAGTGAGAACAAATGTTAGCACACATGCATTCTCTATCCTTACCCTTTATCCAGCAGATGAAGACTCCCCGCAGGACGCTTGATTCAGCCCGCCTAGCCAGCATCTTCCACACTAGCGAGTACCGCCAACACTGGGCTGATAATCAAGTTTGCTGCTGGCTTGGGCTGAATTAAAGTAGATTTTCTAATCCATGGTAGCTGTTAAAAAAAAAAAAAAGTAAAAATGGGGTGGAGGTAGGGGATCACTTGCTAAAAGCAAGAGAGATATTTTAAAAACTGTATTCAGTGATTTGTAGCTCTGCCGCTGGGTCACAGAAAGGGTGGGGCTAGAGTCTTACTGTGGACAAGGTTGAACTAGTCCGTGCGCTTGATGGAAATGAGACGGAGAGAGGCAGCCTCAGCGTCTCTAGCAGTCCTGCCTCCCTTGTTGCATTATTAGAAAAGAAAGATAGCCTGAGAATAGGCCTCCATTATCTCTTTCTACAAAGGGATTAGTGTAGGTGGCAGGAAATTAATGGCTTTTGAGTTACCACAGAAATACTAATGAATGTCGGGTTCAGAGATGGAAAGCAGGTAAAATTGGCTTCTCTCTGCCTCTTTTTACTTTTGGTTTGCTATTTTAAGATATACATCTGTACTATTCTTTTTCCTTCAGCCAAAAAATCAGAAATCAGACCCTTAAGGAGTATGATTTGCCTTCTTTAGGAAAATGAGTGGACGGCTGTCTGAAATGTGTGTCAAGCGAAGGGATTGAGAAATATCTCAGAAATAAAGTCTCACCCTAGGGAAGGGTGCTCACCCTCTTTAGCTTAGATATTGTTTTCGTGTTGACTATAAATATCAGAAAGTCTTCCTAAGGACATTCTTCTTTGAGTAAAACCTGAGATTTTCTCTCCGTCCGTTTCATCTTGCCAACTGGGTACCATCTTGGGATTTTTCTTCTGCCTTGTTTAGTTTGAATCACCAAGATACTGTGGCTTTTCTGCTTGGACTTCCTTGCACCTACCTTTGCATGGTCTAATTAATTCTTTGCCTCTTCTTTCCTTCTCTCTTTGAATTTCCAGAACACAAACAGACCTTCCCAAACATTTTGAAGAAAGGATACCTGGACATCAGGAAGAACCATGACAGTTACTGGCAAAGCTGTTATGCAGAGCTCTCCCCCTACAGCTTACGCTTCTACAGCCTGGACCGCAGCGGGAACCAGAGCCTCTTTGCCTCGCAGCCGCTTTCACACTTCCAGAGCATATCTGTTTTGGGCAACCTCGAGGCCAGGATGGTGGACACCGTCCTGTCTGACAGCACTCAGCTACAGCTCAGGGCGGAGTCGCCCTGGGAGGCATTGGACTGGGGACAGAAGCTCTGGGAGGTTGTGCATGCCTCCAGGCCGGGCTCTCTGGCCCGGCAGGATGCACTGGCCAACACACCAGGGCTCGGTCATAATGCGGACTGTGAGAAGAATCACTGTTTACAGAAGACACCCAGTGGGCTGCTGCTTCCGTCCCCTGTGTCGGATAGCACCACCCAGTACCCAAACATCCTCAAATCAGGGACACTGTACAGGCTGACTGTCCAAAATAACTGGAAGGCCTTCACGTTTGTGCTGAGCCACGCCTACCTGATGGCGTTCCTGCCTGGCAAGCTGGACGAAGATCCCCTGCTGAGCTACAACGTGGATGTGTGTCTGGCTGTCCAGATGGACAACCTGGATGACTGCGACTCTTGCTTTCAAGTTATTTTCCCCCAGGATGTCCTCCGCCTTCGAGCTGAGACCCGGCAGAGGGCTGAGGAGTGGATGGAGGCTCTGCAAACCGTTGCCAATGTGGCGAGGAGTTCAGAGCAGAACCTGCAAGTCACCCTGCGGAACAAATCCAAGGATCAGATGGGTGGGCAGGACCTCAGGAAGAGCAAGCGCCAGTCGGTGACCACCAGCTTCCTGGGCATTCTGACGACCTTGTCTTTGGAGCGGGGCCTCACTGCTCAGAGTTTCAAATGTGCAGGTACGAAGCAAATGTTTAGCCTAGTGCCCTTAGAGAACAATCTTGAATGCCACCACGGAGGCTAACAACCCCACCCCCACCCCCCAGCTGGCCAGCCACAGTTACTTCCTCCTGTTTCTACACCCCCGCTCCCCCAGGGATCCTGTGGTGTTAAACCAAGTTCATCCTCACGCCGTCTGGGTGAAGTAACTAGGAGCCGATAGGATGGACCCACTAAATCAAAGTGAGTTGGCCAAAGCGCACCCAGACTAGAATTGAGGCTTCATGGTCTATTATGCTTCCATTCCCTCTGCCTTCCTGACCAGAGTGTGTTGTGAATATGGAAGCCACAGATGATCCCATAGAGATACCCATTCGCAGTGTTCGGCTGTCAACACTCTTTAGGCCAAGAAAATCCCTGGAATCAGTAGCTGTCATTGACCATAACCTTGTCAGACCCTGGTAAGGGCACAATTTGGTCAGTCAGCTCTGACCGAAAACCTGGAGGTGGCTGAAAGCAAGGGAGGAGAGGATTCAGCAGCTGGCCTCTGAGTCACTGGCGGCCTGCGCCTCGTTGTGGGGGAGCCCAGCCCTCTGGGACAGCTCTGTAAGGGTGAGACACAGAGCTGTGCTTAAGGCCAGTCACCTGTGGTTTCTTAATGCTCTGTCACTGCTTCGCTCCTCAGTGCCCCATCCCTCCCATCTTCACAAAGGCAATAGAATAATAATAACAAACCTCATTGAGCCAAATTTAGCCATCAATTATAAACCAAGTAAAATTATTGTCCTTTTACTCAACTCCACACTTTGTAACAATAAATTGATTATAAAGATAGTTTTCATCAGAAACCTGACTTCAAAGGCTTTAATTCAAGTCTCTCTGATGTCAGCATGCTATGTAGACATGACCAAGCCATGACTGAACCTTCAATCTTGACCTTGCCCTGCAATGACAGGCTAAATACAGAGCCCGTGGAAACGTGTGTATGCAGGCTAGTCATGAATGATGGCCTTTCTAATGTAAAATGATTTACCTAAGGTGGGTGGTGTTGACTTAATCATCCCTGCTTTAATTCAGGGCCTTCGGTGACGGGAAAGCACGAAGGGGTTGTAGACACCTAAACCATGCAGCTGGCCAGTAAAGAAGGACTGGACTGTGCACATATCTGCAGGCAGTAGTGGAGAAGTGTACTGGCGACATTTGGCTAAAGGCTTTGAAATAAGGAGACATTGGGTTTATCACAAGGAGACCTGGTGGCATCGTGGTTATGCATTGGGCTGCTAACTGCGAGGTCAGTAGTTCAAAACCACCAGTTGCTCCAGGGGAGAAAGATAAGGCTTTCTGCACCCATAAAGAGTTAAAGTCTCAGAAACTCCCAGGGAGCAATTCTACCCTGTCCTATAGGGTTGCTATGAGTTGGAATCGACTCGATGACAATGAGTTTGTTGTTTAGGTTTTTTGTTTGAGGTTTATCACAGTCTTTTAGGAATTATTGACACATCAGTGTCATACGGATGCACATATGGTATATCAGATTGTAAGCAGTTAACATCATCTGTCCCTGTCTTTACATGGAGCTTGTAGGTAAGTTGAAGCAAGTGCATATGGTTCCTGTTTAGCCTTGTTTTGGTAGAAGAAAGGAGCCCTGGTGATGCAGTGGCATAAGCATGAGACCAGGAACCAAAAGGTTAGGGGATTCAAACCTACCAGCTGCTCCACAGGAAAGATGAGGCAGGCTGCTACCATAAAGACAGACAGGGTTATGCTATTCCATACGGTCACTGTGAATTGGAATTGACCACGGGTTTGGGCTTTATCTTCTATGAACTTGGGATACTTGATGGCACCAGTAAAGCTGGCTTGTCATTGTAATAAGGGGGCTGACCACTCAGCTTTGTTCTCACAATGAAGACTGGAGTACTTAAGTCAAGAGACATTCTAGGAAAAGGGCAGAAACGCTGTAGGTGTCCCAAGGTTGTCACCTAATTCACCTTCCTCTCGGGAGTTCGCCCACCTTGAGGTGTAGTGTGTGTTGCTGTGCTGGTGGTCAGCACTCAGCTGTGTCGCTGGTGCTCCGGAGGAAGAGTGAGGGAGGGTAGAGCAAGCCCAGTGCATCCAGCAAGTGAGGAAATGAAAGCAGGAAAGACAACGGGACGTGAATAGAGTGGAAGGAGAAGGAAGCCACATTAATAATTAAGAAGACGAGAAGGAGTGTGTCTAGATATGGATAGCTTAACACCTACACGGGCAACAGTTGACCACATATGTGAGAGGACTTCTGTGTTAGTCCGGGTTGACTGGAGAAACAAACCCAGGGAGACTCATATGTGTATAAGAAAGAGTTTTATTTAAAAGAGCAATTGTATATTGAGAAAACAGCTCCGCTGAGTCCAGATCAAGTCCATAAGTCCATTATTAGCCCATATGCCCGATACCATTCTATCAATTCCTCTTCAGACTCATGTAGCCATGCAATGATGCTGAATACAGGAAGATCACAGGCCAGTGGGTGAAAAGTCTGGTGGATCCAGTGGCGATGGAAGCATCTCAGCACTGACATAGGTCTCCATGTGGCTCCTAGCTCCTGGGCTCTGGTTCCATCCGCGTAGCTCAATGTGTCTTGTCAACAGGAAGACGAATCAGAGAGAGTCAGTCTCGCCTCCAGTGAGTTATTTATCTCTGTAGCACCTCCAAATGAGGTCTGCAACCTGATTGACAGGCTAAACTTCCCCCTTTCACTCTTAATAGTCTCAAGTTGACACCAGATTATGTACCACAGCTTCAGAAAGTTTATGCAGAAATGGAAAGAAAAGATACAGGAATTTTCTACAAATTCTTTGAAACTAGCTCGAATGTCTGTGGTCCCAATTGTTATAATAACAAACAAACAAAACCTCACTGCTGCTATCGAGTCAGTGCCGTGCCAACTCATCCTATAGGACAGGGCGGAACTGCCCCGGTGGGTTTCTGAGACTGTAATTCTTTGCAGGGGTCTAAAGCCCCATCCTTTCTCCCAGGCGAGACTGGGGGTTTTGAACTACTGACCTTGAAGTTAGCAGCCCAACTTGTAAGCACTCTGCCACCAGGGTTCCTGGTAATGGTTACAATAGAGCTGAAACTCTTGATGGGAGAATAGCAGGTCGGGAGAGCTGGAGGGAGTGGAGGGAGTGGAAGACGTTGCTAAGTAAGTGTTGTGATCAGCTCTCACTAACTCTTCAGGCTCCGGCTCTGGGGTAGCAGGGTAAAGGTGCCTCAGCACCCATCCATAGCTGTCCACCCCAGCTGTTCCACTGCACTCCCCTCAGGCAGGGGCTGGCTGGACACCACTGAGGCCACCAACAGGGATGCCCCATTCAGCCTGAAGTCCCTGCGCCTGATACTTGGGCTGAGGTGGTGGCCACCCAGCTTAGGGGAATGGGGTGGTGTAAGGAGGTGCAAGAAAGGAGGCTGGGAGTAGAGCTGAAAGCTGTCCCATGTGGGGGCCGGTGGGGGGAGGCTTAGTAGGCCTAGAAGAAGGAAGAGGAGGGGGCCCACAGGGTGGGTGTGCAGGATCAGGTGGTGATCCTGCACAAGTGGCTGCAAAGCCAAAGTTTTTGCGCAGCCTCTCGTTACAGACCCAGGGTGATGGTCTTGTGTGCCCCCTCCTGTATGTAATAGTATAGTCTCCAAGTCACATAGACATACAATTTCACGGGAGTTATGGTGGGTGGTGAGTGAGGCAGACCCGAAATAGGTAGGTGTAGAACTTTCTGGCACCTGTTTTAGATTCTGTGTGACTGGATGTCTCCTTTTGCTTTTTAACTGTGAATTTGACTATTTTAAGTTACCTTCATGTTTTAGTCTGTGATTCCCATGAGGGACATGTGACCTAATTTAAGCTAAAACCAATTCTGATTTATCATAGTGTCACAGATTCCCAATTTCATTTCACTTAAATGTCTCCTTTTTCCTTTGCAGAGTGGGGTTCTGTGGAAAGCAGAATACCTGGCGGATAAGGAAAGTTCAGCTGTTTCCCATTAATAGAAGGCGATAGAAAAGTGCTAAGAATGCATACTGCCCCTTAAATGTCCCGCTTCCTACAGTAAAGTGCTACATCCTGTTTCCTTGACATACACATGGTGTGCCAGGTTGCTTTTTATTTCCCTTTACCTTCACCGCACGTGGAACGCCGATTCCCACTCTGAGGTAGGAACACTTATCTCCTGCAGGGGGCAGACTCTCAAAAGAAAAAGGCAAGCTTTTGCTAACCAACCCTCAGAATGTTTTTTAAATTACTTGGGAGGCTGTTCATTATATCACAGATTATTATTGCAGATGGAACTTTAAAAATTGATCCATGCATCTCAAAAGCACAGTTGATCTAAACCAGCTGCTGCCTTGCTTCAGACCTATGTCCCCTAACTGCATCCTCTTAAAAACATGCCATTTTTTGCGTGGGAAAGCGAGTTGCACAGCGTGTTCACTGGCCAGAATGCCAACCAGTCCAGTCTGTTCTTTCTAGATGAGCTTTGGCTTTAGCTCCTGCTTTAAGGGGAAGCTGCTCTGTAATCGCGTGACGTTTTCATGTGCTTCTTTTGACTCTGTGCTGTTTGTCCCTGTAGTCCCTCCCCGTGAAATATTTTGGATGAATCCTCTTTGAGTGGAAGATTGCGCCGAGTAGCTCTTCATTACGATGTCATGCAGTTACTATTCAGGGGAGCCACAAATGTTGGCTTTTAAATTTGTAAAATAGTGCAACTGGTCTTGTTTCACGAAATTCTTTCTGTGAGGGAAGATTTTTCCATATTCTTTGAGACTTAAAGAGCCCCGTGCAGCAAAAATAGATAGTGACCACCCCCAAATGCCTGAGGCTATCGCTTTGAAAATCTATGCTGTGAAGCCACCCCCACTACGGCAGACACACTGCGTTTCGCAACGCAAGCTTCACTGCCTGCAGAGAGGCTACCTTGTGTTTCTGGGTCTCACAAGTTTACCACCTTTGGCAGGATGCAGCCT